TTCAATATCCACGCATTCGTAACAAAAATATTTGTTTCCAACATTCTAATAAAATCTTATTCATGAAAATGAAATTTATTATAAGTTTAATTATCAGTGATGTGGAGCAAAAAATTTCTTTACAAGAGGACCATATTATATTAAAAAAAAATACAAATTAGTTTTGTGCTAATGGATTTTTTTAATAAAATTTCAAAAATTGTTTAAAGGCTGTAAACAGACAAATTTAAGTCAAATTATTTGTATCTATTAGTTATTAATAAAATTGGAAAATACTCCATTGATAATATAATTAAAAATATATATTCAATCTTTTATATGGTGCACTATATGAACATCACGATAAAGGAAAAATTAAATTAACCAAAAAGATTTTTGCATTCGGCCAGTGATTTCATATAATTTATTGTTGATTTTTTCATAGTAGTCATGTGATTATTTTATTTTAATTTTGTCTCATTGGAGGTTTGTTTTATCCTATTTTTACCAATTTTAATTTGCTCACCTCCAAAAACGAAACAGAAATGAACTTCAGAGTTTTTATATATATCATATATGACGGAAAAAAAACTTAAAACATGATTTTCAAGATACCTATTATTTTTCTTAAAAAAGTTATTATATACATTAAAATTTGATTACTTAAATAGTTTAATTGAGCTAATAAAAATTATTTGGTATTTAATTAATCAATTTTATTTTAAACAGCATGAACCAGAAAATTTGGAAATATACAGTTCCAAAAATGCTGAGTTGCAGGTATGATATAAAAATAAGTGGAGTTGTGAAATTCCCAGAGAGAGAAATAAAGTGCTTAAAATGAAACAAGCACACAGCATTGAATATTTTGTTAATTAAATGATAGATTGACATGACCTAAAAGGAAATTAACATTTGCAGAAAGATTTAACAGGATTGGTGGTTTAGTTTGCCCTTATGGAAGAAGGGGAAAGAATTACTGAATGAAGCATGTTTAAGAAATGTGTTTAGAGTGGAGGTTGAAATGAAGAGATTAATAAGGTTGCTGAAAATGGGTTAAGGTCTAAACTAAACCCAAAGTAGCGAATCCAAATTGCAGGCATGTTTACCTATTTGTGAAGAGATCACAAAATTTGGCACTGTGCGTCCAACCATTGTTTCCCCATTTGGACAGTTTCAAATCTGCAAGCAAATCTCCAACCTTTTCCTTTTTCTCCTTTCACCACGCACCCTCTGCCGTAACCCTAACCCTTCAAACACACAAAAACAACATAAAGTTTCAATCTTGTCAATACTAATCTATCTATGTAGCACACAATTGTTGCCCAATTTTAGCATCATCATTGTCATCGTAATAATGAAGAATCTGTTATAACATGAAAATTTCCAATTAGTGGGGAACCATACGAACCATAGATTCCGACTCAACCCTATTATTTGGAGAAAGCTTTGCACGTAATTGACATCTTATAAGCCTCTCTTCAACTACAGAGTTTCTTCAGCTTCTATTTTCACTTCGTACGTAACATTTTAAGCTCCTCTTTCTGCAACTCAAGGTGGGGCAAATCCAAGGTTCCACAACGTGGAAAACTCTTCTTCTACTTACCCGTTCAAATTCGGGCTCAAAATCCTCCTCTTCAATCAAATTTCCTATTATTTTCTGTCGTTTATTTAAATTTAACACATCCTTGTCAAACATGAATTCATTTTCCTCTACCACTCTCATCAAACCAAACATAGCTATAAATTCATGTTGGTGTTGAAATTAATTAATATAAATAATGTATTTTCCTTAGAAAAACTTATTCAGAATTATTTAATTTTAATTTATAAAAACGACTTGCGACTTTTTTATAATTTTTTAATAAAAAAATATTAAAATAAGTTATTTATGGCATATTTTAATAAACTCTATGGTAAATTTATATTAAGAGATAAATTAAAATCTAAATCTTGAAAGAATGGACATGAATAGGACGCTGGTAATTAATTAAAATTGAAAGCATTATGAAATTAATTAACAAGATGATGAAAATGACACACACATATTATAGCAGTCATGAATAGTTTTTTCTTTTCTTTCAGCCAAATCAAGTATATATATATAACAGTGTACAAGAATCTAATTTGGTGTAACATTGGTGAAGTAGATGTTAGATGGATTGAAGTTGATATTGATTGGTGAATGAATGGTGTTGGAGATTGGTTGAATTTTGGTGTGAATTAAATTGTGTATAATTCAGATATGAATTGATTTAAGAGTGGTGTAATAAATGTGAGAGGTTATGTTACGATAAGATAGATATTGAAAGCAAAGGGTTGAGGGTAAGAGAAGGAAGGGTATTGGAAGGATTTGGTGTGAATGTTCAGGCGGGGATGTCACGGGGAACGGTGGAAGAGGGTGTGGTAATAAATAATATTAGAGAGTTAATGGAGCTCATATGATGTTGTACTTGGACCCAACTACCCTTGTGTTTGTGGGTGGGGACTTTGTCTCTTCAAATAAACCATCATGCTTCGCAACACTCGGCAATGGAAAATGGGGACTATCAAAGAAATATTATTTCCCATGCTTTTCTTGGTTCACATACAAACATAATAATAATGCTTTATGTCACCATGAAATTCATCATTCTGATTATTTTATTTCCGTATGTTTTGCCTTTCCCAGGTTCAAGTTTCAACTTGGGAGATTTTATTTGGGGATGGGGTGGGTGAGGATTCCTACTAATAGTCATTCTATAAGTAAAAAAAAGGTTATAACAGGGTACCAACTTCCAACTGCTTTCTGCTTTTTCTAAGGACATCATTGTTCTGTAGAATGTGAAAAAAGAGTGATTGGAGGCCACATAAGTAACAAAATTTATATTCAGCACCATGTGACTGCTAGACCAAAAGTTGGTTTGGTTCATATCATGCCTACACCCAATCCAACAGTAAAAAAAAAAAAAGAAAAAAAAAGAGAGAGTCTGAGGCATGAGAATGGATTTTTTTATGAGTGGAGCCTTTAGCAAAAAGGTGGACTTTATACACTCCAAATCCAAAAGAGCAATGAACATTATACACAAGCATTAGTCACTTTTTTTTCCCTTTAAAATTTGAACAGGGTAAATTCATTGATCACCATACTGCATTTTATGTTACTTGCTGTAAACTTCTTCCTCTGTTAAAGCTTGGCACCACTTGGGAGACTTTACAGAGAAGCATCATATTCATGGGTAAATATCACATTACAAAATTTGGCATGAACTTTTCATTCGCAAGAGAAAGAAGTACTAAATTTTTTCTAGTTCCGTTGATCCAACTAGGCAGTGGTGGCAGAGGACCCTCAATTTTATCTTGTACATCTTTTTGGGTCGTTGAATTTGGACCCATCAACTAAAATTCATAGGCTTATAGAGCAAAAGGCCTAAGGTAACAAAGAAACAAGAGGGGGAAAATGGACTACAGATTTATACTGTAATTGGGAATTACAAGCATCTACCAATTACCATTGTGGGTTCTCTTTAGCAAAAGGAAGGGATGGGACCAAGCATCAGTCACCCTAAAGTGGAGTGAGATGAGAGCAGAAAGATGTTACCTAATATAGATTGAGTATTTTTGTTGATCTTCAATATTCTTAAGCCTTGGTAGAAAAAAGTTCCACTGACTTCTATTGAGGGACCAAGGACACTAATGCTTACTTTCGATTAGGAGAAATATTTCATGACATTCCTATCCGGTAGTTGAACAGACTAATGCTCATTTGTTACAAAGTCCAATTCAATTCAATTCACTTTAATTGAAAGCCTAACTGTTCCTCCAATTACCCTAGCATTACCATTTATGAAAGTTATGACTAACTTCTTTCGCACCCATCATAAGCACGGGGGACTCAGACCAATAGCACAATAACTGGTTTTGTGGGAAGAGGTGAGAATCTTCAATATGTTTTCACAATAAATTTGCAACCTCTAAACCACACAAACACATAAAATATGAAAACATCAACATAAAAGATTCTGACACCCTGACCTCACATCATAATTTGACATATTTCAAACTGCAAAACTTGCCAACATCAGAAACACAAAAGGGTCTTTCTGATGCTAAAATAATCAATTCATTCTTGGTATCCGAAACTCAATCGGTGCCCGAACAAAAAATAAAATGAAAAAGAAAGCAAGAAGAAACTCAAAACCTTATACTCGAAGCATTTTAGGTGGCATGACACTGACAAAAACAATTGACTTGTTTGGAGGATTGATGGTAATGGTAGCTTTAAATGGAGCCGAAGAGCTATTAAGGCCGTTAATACCGGATATTTTAGTTCATGACCAAGTTGTGATAGAAGTGCTTAAACAAGAGCAAAATCCTTGCAGCCCCCACACCCAATTCTTTGAATTGAATTTAGTTCCCATTTGAGCTAAACTTTCTATTTAAGCATGTGGGAGTGAAAGCCAGTACTTGAATCGGCTGAAATCATACAATAGCTTCACGACAAAGAAGGTGAGATTGTGATAACCTACATACTATGCATTTATGAGATTAGGTTTTGCATTGAAGAACAGCAAGGAGTAGCATCATTTGAAAGCCCTATAGAGAATCATGTAATTGCTGTGTGGTCCCCTTGTGCAAAGAATATATTACTCCTCAAAGCAACTGCAGCTTGTACTTTGCTCCTAACTTTACAGTAAAGAATGAGTGAATGACATTCTATTCTAAGAGTCACTCTCGCAAAACTTATCATTCCATTATGGCATTGATTTTGAAGTTTGATTATGAATTTATTGGGATTAAATAATGACAAAGAAAAGATAATCATGGCTTTCCTCTATTTGTTGAGACAGTTATTTGAAATTCAACTATACCAAGTTTAAGGACATGGAAGAATTTGAGTATTGGAACAAGTACTATGGACTAAGCCAAAAGAGAGGTATTTTGAACAAGAATAAGGTAACTAATTTACCTACTCCTGGTTAGTTGTTTTATTAGAAACAAAGAAGAGAGGGGGCAGAGGGTTCTCCAAAATTTTAAAACAATTATAAGGGGGGCCTCTTCTTCCATTGTCTTCCCTTTCTCCACTCTTTCCCCTTCCTCCCAAGCAGGTCCTTAATCAGTGACTTCTCATCAGGCATCAAGGCTCTAATTTCACAAAATTCTTTTTCATATGCATTGCACTCCACCACACCCCTTCTTTTGCATAATTGGTTCACATTGAAAACCATGCATAACCAATAATTGAGAGGTCTACATATGCCCAGTGGTGACACATGTGTGTTAACTCTAGCATTTGGATGGCTGAAGCAAGAGGCATGTGGTACCACTTACCCTCAACTTGTGGTCCTAGTGGCAGATATGGGCAAGATTTTCTTGTTGTGAAAACATAACGAGTTTGACCCTTGAGAAAATGGGTTATTGCTCTAGCTCCTTTCCATTTCAGAGCTAAATGGAATTACAATTCTAGTTATGAGCAGAAGGTGTGTTGGATGCTTTGGAAAAAGGTTAAGCAATTTGCTACAGAGCAAGGAAAAAAACATGGGATTGCCTTGTCCTCAGCAATGCTATAGCGTCGCCAAGACGGAAATATTGACAAGGATTGCATTGGCCCTAACTGGTGTCACCATGGTGTGATACCTACAATTCCTAAGCACCTGCAAATGGAGACCATCCATGCAACATTTCTTAGTTCTATGTACTAAACTATAAACTAGAGAACATGAGGTAAGAATATCATGATGCCGTAATAAACCAAAAAGAGAAGAGTGCGTGATGTAACTAAGCTTACGGATATACATATATTAATCTAGCTTAGTTGGACACTTTTGTGAAAACAAAATTGATGCTAATTTTCTCTTAATAAACCATAGCTTTATTTTTCCTCTCTGCTTGTTCGCTTAATTTCAAACTTCCAAGTGAGAAAGAATGGGCCCAAAGATTGATTTTGAGGTGAAAGGTAGGGTTTACCTACTTGATTATTCGTACAACTTTTTCATAATGAGTAAGGGAAAGATAACGAATGGTGGTGGGTACCTTGCTTTGAAGACTAATATCTGGAAATTTTATATTTCTTTTTTCTATTTGTTAAAATTGTGAGTGGAGGAGAAACTATAAAAGAATGCAGGTATATTTTGGAGGAGAAAATAGGACTAGCCAGCTTCTGAAAATTACTTCAAAAGATACTGTTATTCCTGTCATGAAAATGTTAAAAGCAGGGTTGCAACATAGAAAAGTTCGTCCATGTTTCTCTTCAAATAATGTTTCACAGTGTATGTTCGGGAGAGAAAAGGCAACAAAAAAAGAAGTCGCTGGAAGAATGCAACGTTTCCAAAACCACATGAAAATACTGCTATCAAGCAGTTGTAAATACGTCGTTGCTCGGCAATAATGGTAGTGCTATGTGACAGAGTGAAAAGTATGTTTGGAAATTATATTATATACAAATCTTCTCGTGTAAAAGAAGGTGGGTCTTCTTATCTCCTCTTCGATCAACTTCATTCTATCAAATTATGTATGAGCCAAAAATTGTTCCTCATCAATTATATGATTGCGTAATAAGGATATTGTGTTATTAATTCAATGATATGATTAATATGAAATATAATTATGAATTTAAATATAAATTAATAAAATAAGAGGATTCATCGTTAGAAGTTTTTTTATTTTTTGAAATTGAAGATAATCTTGATTATATAAAGAAAATAATAATTTTGTTACTGTCATAATGTTTTTTTATTTGAGATAAGAGAGAAAGAAAAAAGATAAATTAAGAAAAAGAGATTAAAGAAAAAAACGGTAAAACATATTTTTATTGAATATTTTATGGATGAAGATTAATATATCTTTTATTATGATTTATTTGTCATGGTTTATGTGTGAATTATAAATTTTAAAATCTTATAAAATAATTTTGTGAAGTTAAATCAGGAATATATCAAAACTATTATAATTAACGTATTCAACTTTTAATTAATTTAGTTTTAACTAAATAAAAATATACAAAAACTATTTTCGAAAAGAAACTAAAACTAATTTATAATAATATCTTTTATTATTCATTAGTCAAACTAGTAAATAGTATATATTATATATCTAGACTTAGTGTGAAATATATTTATAATAATTATTTTTAAACAATTATTAGAAAATTGTTACTTGAACAAAAAATTGTATAACATATTTTTAATTGAAATAGTTTAAAATAATTATCAATGATTTAAAAAAAATTATAATTATTCTTATTTAGTATATTCTAATACGTTATTTTTTTTCTTATACCACTAATTTTCTATTATACAAAATTGTGCTTCATTCTTTCTTTTCTTTTCTCTGTGTGTCTTTGCACTGTGGTGGTTGCTTTTTTATGTTGTATATTTATCTTCTTCCTTTGTTGATAAACATAACTTTCTTTTTGTTATGATTGTCTATTTTTGTTTTTAAAACATGTATTACAACTGAGACAACATCTATATCTTACTTACAAATTTAATCGAAATAATTGGTTTCAAGAAATATAAAAAGTAAGTATATTTTAAAAATTGAAATGTTAAAAAAAAAAAATACAAAGTGGGAGATTGGAGGACTCAAAAGTTAAATAATTGATGAGGAAAATGGAGAGAGGAAATTAGAGTTAGAAGGATGAGTTGAAAATCAAATAAAGTTTAAATAAAGGAAACAATAAGAAAATAGTTTTAAAATCAAGGGGAGACATACCTATGAGAAAAGATTAAGGGATCAAGGAAGTTACAAAGGATCATAGAGATGAGAAATGATTATGATTCCATGATGAGAAGTACTTGATAATGAAAACTATTTTAAAAAAAAAGGAAGAAGAAAAAACTGTTAATAGAAAAAAAAATTATTTTATTTGAATTTTAATGATTACAATGAACATTAACTAGGAATAAAGGTGATGATTATTCTGATAAATATTAAGAAAATTATTTTAATGAAGTTGTTGATAATTTAGGTGTATCAATTCTTTTTTATTCTTATTAATTTATATTTTTTAATATTTTATATATTCAGTACTTTATTATCGTTAGTAATTTACTTTTCTCGGTAATTTACCTTTCCACACGTTTTAATTTGTCAAATATTTTCCGGTTAATTTTGTGAAGTCTTAATAAATATTTTTGAAATAATACTAAAAATCTGAATTTATAATCGAGAAAATTTATAAATATTTTTGTAAATTAACATGTGAAAAATTTATGATTAAGGTCAAGTTGATATTAATTATTGAGTGAAACATTAGTGAATTTAATTATGCTTCAAATTTAGTTAAAATATTCTCATATTGAAAAGTTTTAATTTATTAGTCTTAAAAAAATCCACAAATGATAAATGATTTTTATTAAAAATATTAACCAGAAGGAACATATTCACTTAATACATCAAACCATTTTTCACCCTAAACCATACTTAACTGTCGGTATGATTGTTATTTATATCATCATTTACTGTCAAATATTAAAAAAAATACATATAATAATTATTACTCACAAATATAAATATTTTATTATAAAATCTTTATAATATAGAAGAAAAGAAGAAATCAATTTATAATTTATTAGACTTATTATTAGAAAAATAAGTTAAATGTAATTTAGAAAATAAAATAATTATTTATTAGTCTGTCTTAAATTGATGTGGTTGGTCAATGAGTACAAATTTAATAATAAGAAGAATGTGACATGAGGAAAATAATAATTTTGATAAGAATATATCTTACTAAAATTAAATAGTTATGTGAGAGATTGATAAAATGATCATCCAAATCTTATTACTAAAATGACAATCTATTTTAATATATTTTATTCAATAATGAAACACCAGTTATGAATAATAAACATGATGTTATACTTTGATTTACCACTTAATTTATCTTCTAAATTACATTAATATATTTTTTTAATAATAAATCAGACAATAACAATTAAAATCAATAACAAATGAAAAAAAAATACAAAAATCAATTTTCTAACAATTAAACCTTATCTAATTAGATTGCAGTCAAACATAACGCACTATAGTCTCCAAGTCAATAACTTATTTTCACATAACATGTCCTCTTTGACATTTAGAATAGTTTTTCAAGACCTGGATCGTGATTTATTATCATCTTACTTACTTGACATGAAGTGTTAGTCTAAGGAGTTGGTGACATCTTACCACTCTCCCACCTCTAAATGGGGTCACTTTCATGTTATTCCGTCTTAAAAAAAAAACTAAAAAAAGGCTTATGATTTTTTATTTGTTTTATCGATTCACCTCAATAGTCTTCTGAATTTTAAAATATTATATAAGGAGGTTAATACTTATAAAAAATTTAATAGTAAAGATAAAGATTTATTTACTAGTTCGATTGAAAACTCATCATTCTTAAAAAATCATTTCGTTACATAATACATCTCAAATGTCATTTTCATTTGGATCAGAGGTATAAGAATCAAATCTATTTGTACATGCTCCAATATAACTTTGGTTCCTTCCTACACTTTGTTTTAATCAATGGTAATGGTAATATACAAGTTCTTTCTTTTTACTGCCCCACTTGTACAGTGGTTTTACATTAACACCTAAATACAAATATTTATACATAATATTTTTAATTGACTTTACAACAATTATATATGTAATTGTTGATTGTTTAATTTTTTTTAACACAGTACACAAAAATTAAAATCTTAGGTGAACTGAAAGATTTTATAGTAGTCTCTAAAAACTAATTATCATAGAAATTAATATGATCTGTGTCATTTCATCAAGCCCATCTAACTTAATTCTTCACGACAAGTAAGTATTCTCTTATATTCTCTGACATATCCATGTGGATGTCTTTTTCAACAATTACAATCTTCAAATTTTAAGAGTACCTCAATTTCAATTTTAAATACTCAGGAACTCAAAATGAATAGACAAGGTACTACTATATCTCAGATTAGTATATAAAAAATAAATAAAAACTAGTTAGCTAAATTTAAATTAAGAAGGATTGATTGAGCCAAAACTAATTTAGATTGAAATTTTCGAACCTGAACTATATGTTTTGAAACAGGATAACTCATTAGTTTAACTCAAATTTTCAAGTCTTGGCTAATTTATGGTGTGACTTTTAGCATGTGAGATAGAGAGGGGTTAGAAGGTGAAGTTGTGTGAGAGAGAAGTGTTTTTTGAGATATGACAAAGACATTCACATGGATGTTAATGTAGGAATAAGCTTACCATAAGAACACATAACTGCCACGCAAGACTCTATTCAACATCTTAACAAAAGGGCCAATTATATCACTTTTTTTTTTTTTCCTCTATAGTAATTACACGTGACTTTGTTTTATACCAGGGGCTTAACTCCTTTTTTTTTTTTTTAAGAGATTTTTATTTTACAGCCCTTTTTTTTTGTTCACTTTTCTCTGTTGCATATTTTAAAAATAATAAATTTCTCACCTATAAAACCCTAATCTAACCCATCCCCATTAAAATTGGGTTTATTAGACTTATTTTTCACGTTGGAAGGAAGCTAAAAAACCCAATATACAAGGTTATTTTTCATGTTAGACTTATTTATCTAACAATATTATTTATTGTTCATAAAAGCTTATT